GGAGGAGTATATCCTCGTTACTGATCCTATAAGTGAAGTCACTTGATAACACACTGATGTTATTGTCCATGTGAAACTCACACTTGCCTTGTGTTGTTCGAACTGCTTACATTGTGTGCTAGCGTTAGTATGAATTTCAGTTTACTTAGGAAGAATATGCACATGGTCAACTACGTGTTCTGATGACAATACGGATATTCTGAGGGAGTTCTTGTCGGTTTTTATACAGCAGAAGTTCCACTATATGTAACTTTTGGTGAGGAAACGTGTGAGCTCAGCTGATGAAAGCAAGTATATACTTCAAAAATTTTCCCAGGATTGTTGCAATTCAGCTCTGTTCGTAGTTTTTCATGTCGTACCAATACAACGCCGTGAGGGTCGAGGTGCGTCACGCCCGTAATCTTCACGATACGGAAGTCTTTGGGAAGATGGACCCGTGAGGAGTCGATCGTAGTTGGTCATCGTCCTCACTTGGTATAGTAGGTACTGTGTAGTAATGCTCGGCCCAGGGAAGAAATTTAAGACCAGGGTGCTGCTACTACTACTCCCTGTTGGGAGGATGATGAAGTGATGTAGGTTCAGAAGGACGTAGGATCGAACCCTACTTGGAACGAGACGGCCATACTGCAGTACAGTATGGAGCCGGAGATGGCCTTTAAAGTGATGGATAAGGAAAGCATTAAGGATGATGATTTTGTGAGGGGGATGGTGGCATTCAGCGACTGGCACGTTCTAGAGAGGACCATGTGGAATGTACTTCGGTCTTGGCTGCAGGTAGGCTCGGCTACGGTGAGTATGGCGGCCGTCGCTTCAAGTGGTCGATGGTCTGGGGACCTCGCATTGTAAGTCGGGGGAAGTGTGGTAACATGTGTTGGCGACAATTGTGGAAATTCGGAGGGAATTTTTGTTGGTTTCTGTACGAGAATCTGTATAGGAAAATCTCAGGGTGAACCGAGTGAAACGAACATATATTGCAACACTGGTCACGGGTGTAGCCTACCGCTCCCTCTCCAACTTTCGGGTCAGCAGTTCCACCACAGGTACCGCAGTAAGAGTAAACCAGCAGGATCACTTACAGTATCGATTACTATGCTGCCTGAAGTATCGCCACCGATGATGGTAACTACCGACCAAACCGGTTCGCGTATAATCGTTCATCTTAGGGTGGTGCTCCTCCAGTAGTGACAGCGACGGTTATGGGTACCGCTCCTCCGCCTCCACCCATGATGATGCAACAGCAGCCGGTAAGACACGGTGTGTTGTTGTGAGCTTCTGATGTGCTGGTCATAGGTTCCGGGTACTATGATCGCTCCTGGAGCCCCACCAGCACCGTATGGAGGAGGATATGGGGTGAGTGGTCGAGATTAATCTGTGTGCATGTGTGTACTATTATTAAGGCTTATATAAGTGGTCGCTAAGCGTTGATAATGGTGTGGTATGAATCAGATGATATAT